CCTCCTGTCACCTCCTGTCATCCCCTGTCCCCTAGTGTCCCCTCCTGTCACCCTCCTGTCACCTTCTGTCACCCCCTGTCACCTCCTGTCACCCCCTGTCACCTCCTGTCACTCCCTGTCACCCCTGTCACCTCCTGTCACCTCCTGTCACCTCCTGTCACCCCCTGTCACCTCCTGTCATCCCTGTCACCTCCTGTCACCTCCTGTCACCTCCTGTCACCCCCTGTCACCTCCTGTCATCCCCTGTCACCCTCCTGTCACCCCATCCCTTCCTGTCCCTTCCTGTCACCCTCCTGTCATCCCCTGTCCCCCCCTGGTGTCCCCAGGCGCGTGGGGCTCCACCTTCACCATCAGCAAGTCCATCTGGCCATGGTGTCCCTGGGTATCCCCAGGTGACCCCAAGTGTCCCCAGCTGTCCCCTTGGTGTCCCCAGCTGTCCCCAGCTGTCCCCAGCTGTCCCCAGCTGTCCCCAGCTGTCCCCAGCTGTCCCCAGCTGTCCCCAGCTGTCCCCAGCTGTCCCCAGCTGTCCCCAGGTGTCCCCAGGTGTCCCCTTGGTGTCCCCAGGCGCGGGGGGCTCCACCTTCACCATCGGCAAGTCCATCTGGCTGCTGTGGGCGCTGGTGTTCAACAACTCGGTGCCGGTGGAGAACCCCAAGGGCACCACCAGCAAGATCATGGTGCTGGTCTGGGCCTTCTTCGCCGTCATCTTCCTCGCCAGCTACACCGCCAACCTGGCCGCCTTCATGATCCAGGAGGAGTACGTGGACACCGTGTCCGGCCTCAGCGACCGCAAGGTGACACCGCGGGGACACCGCGGGGACATCGGGGGACATTGGGGGACAATGGGGGAACACTGTGGGGACACCGCAGGGACACCGCGGGGACACCGCGGGGACATCGGGGGACATCGGGGGACAATGGGGGAACACTGTGGGGACACCGCAGGGACACCGCGGGGACACCGCGGGGACATCGGGGGACATCGGGGGACAATGGGGGAACACTGTGGGGACACCGCAGGGACACCGCGGGGACACCGCGGGGACATCGGGGGACATCGGGGGACAATGGGGGAACACTGTGGGGACACCGCAGGGACACCGCGGGGACACCGCGGGGACATCGGGGGACATCGGGGGACAATGGGGGAACACTGTGGGGACACCGCAGGGACACCGCGGGGACACCGCGGGGACATCGGGGGACATCGGGGGACAATGGGGGAACACTGTGGGGACACCGCAGGGACACCGCGGGGACACCGCGGGGACATCGGGGGACATCGGGGGACAATGGGGGAACACTGTGGGGACACCGCAGGGACACCGCGGGGACACCGCGGGGACATCGGGGGACATCGGGGGACAATGGGGGAACACTGTGGGGACACCGCAGGGACACCGCGGGGACACCGCGGGGACATCGGGGGACATCGGGGGACAATGGGGGACAATGGGGGACAATGGGGGGACATTGGGGTTCACCGCAGGGACATCGGGGGACATCGGGGGGGTAATGGGGGAACATTGGGGGGACAATGAGAGGACATTGGGGGAACATTGGGGGACAATGGGGGGGCATCGGGGGGACAATGGGGGACACCGTGGGGACATCGGGGGGACAGTGCAGGGATACCGTGGGGACATCGGGGGACACCGGGAGGACACCGCAGGGACATCGGGGGGACAATGCGGGGATACCAGGAGGACATTGGGGAAGAATGGGGGACACTGGGGGGATGTCAGGGGGACACTGCAGGGACACTGTGGGGACACCGGGGGGACATCGGGGGACACCAAGGGTTTCTGAGGCGTTTTTTGGGGTTTTGTGGTTGCTGAGTTGGTTTTTGGGGTTTTTGGGGTGTTTTTCGGGGTTTTTGGGGTTGCTGAGGTGGTTTTCGGGGTTTTTGGGGTGTTTTTCGGGGTTTTTGGGGTTGCTGAGGTGGTTTTTGGGGTTTTTGGGGTTTTTGGGGTGTTTTTCGGGGTTTTTGGGGTTGCTGAGGTGGTTTTTGGTGTTTTTGGGGTTGCTGAGGTGTTTTGCGGGGTTTTTGGGGTTGCTGAGGTGGTTTTTGGTGTGTTTGGGGTTGCTGAGGTGGTTTTTGGGGTTGCTGAGGCGTTTTTCGGGGTTCGGGGCGCAGTTCCAGCGGCCCCAGGAGCAGTACCCCCCGCTCAAGTTCGGCACGGTGCCCAACGGCAGCACGGAGAAGAACATCCGCAGCAATTACCCGGCCATGCACAGCTACATGGTGCGCTACAACCAGCGCGGCGTGGAGGACGCGCTGCAGCACCTCAAAACCGGGTACGGGGGGAAACGGGGGGAAAA